GGAAATCAACACCTAATATATTTCTAAGTAATAACATTTAGAAGTATTCTATAGATGTGTCTGTGTTTGTATGAGTATGTGTTTTGGCTGGTCAGCAAAAGAGGGCCAGTGGGAATATCAGGGATTTTTCTTGTCTTCATCTGAGAACATGATGTTTGGTGTCATTTGGAATGACAGGTTGATTTGGAATGGGGAAGAGTATGACCTCAAGGATGAACACTTATCTAGGTGTGAGTGATTTAATCTTGCAGGTAGAACCAGATAGGGCATGACTGAGGAATAATGCCTTGTTTTCCCCACCTGTTGTTTCCCCAGGCCCTCTGCTAATTGGCTGGCAAGTGTATTCTGCTTTATGGATGCAAGGAATGTTACTTGTGTTTAGAGCTCAGCAAAGTCTCTTAGTACACTTGGATTTTATAAGGATTTAGCATCTGTAGGAAAAAAGTAGAACAGGTAATGATAGATTGATTGATGGATAATGATTTCTCAAAGGTTAGAGTGAAATAATGTTTGAGGCTCTGGCAATAGTTTCTCTCCACAATGAAAAATGAAGCATAATTAATGCCAATTTTATTGCCAGGAATAAGTGGCCCTGTTGGGTCTCTTAGTGAGGCAAATATACCAAGACTTCTATAATTTTGTTTGATTTAAGTCTTTTATGTTGAGACCATAGAAGAAAAAAAAAAGAGGACAAATCTTCTATAACTAATCACAGAGAGGTCACTGAAGTGCAGTGGTGACTGGGTGCCTTGAGAAGGTGTGTGAGTGACCTCCCTGTCTGGGAGGCAAAGAAACTTTGAACAAGCCGATGAAATTTAAGTGGATTGGTGAAAGTCAGCTAGGTTTGTGACAGGGAAATGCTAGCAGCAAAGGCAATAAATCTCAATGACTATTTTTAAGGAAATAGCCTCACACCAAGATAGTTTCATATTTTGGGTTTGGGCAAGTAAGTGAATGATAAAGTATTGTCAAATGCAAATTACCCACAAGACAACTGGAGAAAGTTACTTTCCAGCTGTGGATTCTAAATAAAATGTCTAGTTCACTTTGAACTATGTTGAGTATGAGGTGCTTTTTGAGACATAAGAGATGTTTCATAAATAAATGATCTTGTAGTGAAAGAAAAGCTTATTAATTTAGAATTTTAATGATATATGAGATACTATCCACTTCAGTTCCAATGGGAATAGAAGAATAAATTTATTATTCCTTTTTTCAAGGAGTTTATTCTCTAATTTCATTAGAAAAGTAAAATGACCACAGATAGCCCTCTATTACTACAGAAAATGTTGTAGGCATCACATGCATGATTATCAAACTAACTGTATAGAAATCTTGCCATTCTGTAGTTAGTGTCCAATGAATTGCTCATTTGGTTTTACTCTGGTAGTTTGAGATGGGAGGAGGCCAGCATGGGCATTTTTGGGGTTTTTTTTTGTACCAGAAATTAGGCTCAGGACTTTGCACTTGTCAGGCAGGCACTTCGGCCACTGAGCTATATCCTCGGCCCATCATGGACTTTTTATTTTCATTTATTTATTTATTTTAAAATTTATTTATTTATTTTTAATGTATCAGTTATTTAATTAGGTTCTTAGTAAGAAATTTAGAACACTTAATTTATGAGGATAAATTCCATTTGTCAGGGCAAAAACAGATTGCAGGGAGCTCTGGAGCTGAGGAGCAGCTTTGATTTTTGCTAAAATCTGAGTCCACTGCTTTCCGATCCACCTTGCGTTGCTGACTAGTCCCATGAGTCAACACGTGGGGTAGTGACCTGGAGGAGGAACGAGGATAAACAGGACAGGGCAAGAGACACGAAAGACAGAGACAAGACAGGCTTTCTGATCAAGTCTTGTTTATTGAAGAAGTGAAAGGGGTCTAAATAGCTGTATATTGGAAGCAGTTGGGTGGGACTAGTTGTGGATTGGTAGTGGAGGTCCAGGACCACAGGAAGAGGCCAAGGCAAGCGGGGATTTGTGCTGCAGCACTTCTTGCCCAAATAAGGGAAAATATAATAGGAGCGTTCTATTGTCCCCCCCCCCCGCCCCACGTTGCTCTGAAATCTGGTATTTCTCTTTCTCGGTGTCGAAGATCTTGCCCTCCTGGTGTCTGGGTTTCTGCAGCTTCTTCTTCTTGAAGTAAGCATCAGAGAGGTGTTTGGGGATTTTCACTTTGCTGATATCAATTTTTGTAGAGGTGGCAATGACAAATTGCTGGTGTGTTCTTTGTAGAGGAACACAATGTAGGGTAAGAGACCCAGTCACAAGTAGCAAGCCACTGGCCAACTGCTTCAGGAAGACCATTCTCTTGCCTCTGTGATGCCCGGTGAGGATGATCAAGATGGTGCCTGGAGTGATGCTAGCTTGAAGTTTCCTCACATGCTGACTGAAGGGTTTTTTGCTATGGCTTAAGAGCTTTCAGGGTATATCTTCAGTAGGGTAGTATCTAGGCATTTTTCAAAGCTTAACCACCCAGATACCTCCATTCTTGTCCTCACCAACCAGTTTTATGATCGTAGTAAGAACATTCTCCTTTTTTTCTCAACCTTTGATTTAGCAGCTGTGTACTTTCTCTTGTACAAAGCCTTTCTGGAATACATAGCAGATTGGGAGTATCCACCAATTCCTCTAACTGGGTCAGGATTTCGGCTGCAGTGGGGCTGCCCCTTCTTGGACATTTTTGCCTTCACCTTACCCTTTTTACCAGTACCACTGGCAGCAGCCTTCTTGGCTTTGGGTTTCTTCTCTTTAGTGTCTGACTTCTCAGTTTTTCACCTGTCATCTTGCAGGATTGGGAAGAGAACTACATTTTTAGCATGGGTTTTAAAAATAGTACTGTATGGTTTTTGCCTCAGAGTAACTCATTTTAATTTTATGGAATAAAAATTATTTGTCCCATTTTACAGAAGAGGAGATTTAGGAGCTGAGAGGTTAAATAACTTGCTAAATACCATATAGCTATTAAATGATAAAGTTAGAATCAGACTATTCAGTCTCAGTCAAAGCCTTTGCCCCTAATTTTTATCCTATTCTTTCACTAAATGTATGTTCTGTCATTACAAGCATTTTCAAACTATGTTTTAGTAGCTGCTTAATAATTTATTTATTCACCTAATATATATATATATATATATATATATATATATATATATATATCTGTGTGTGTGTGTGTGTGTGTTGTTTTTAATTTGATGTGTACATCTCCAAGTATGTCTTCAGGATAAATTCCTACAAGTTAGTTTCTTGGACATAAGAATACAAAATGGTTAAGACTTTTAAATCATACAAAATTGTTTTTCAGAAAAGTTCAAAAAGTTTACAATCCCATGTAGAATTATCTATCAATCTTATGGGTTGCCTACATCAAAACAAACAGGTAGACTCAGTAACTGTGATACAGGTGATGGTTGGAATAATGAGTTAGAGCAAGGTTTTACTTAACCTCACTGCCTCCCTTTGTTCATTGAGAACTAAAGCTGTTTCTTGTACAGTATTACAAAGACAACAATAGAGACTGTACCAACTATTGTAACTGTCCTAGTAAACTGTTCTGAAACTCTGTTTCACTGTTTGTTTACTTTGTCTCTGTAAATAAAAAAAAAAAAATGGAACCGACACTAAGAAAGGTTTAAGGACATGACCAAAACCCAAATATGAGGATCAGAGTTATGGTGAGAACTTGCAGCTAACACTGAGTGATTATTCAGTTTGATTCATTTGGGAGGTGTGCATGGTTCAAGGGTGCATTGAAATGAGCATCTGGGATTCTGACTGGTGATTTGAGACATTTGGTGTATGGGTCAATTTCGTAGTTCTCTGAAAGTTATCTTAAAATCAGCCAACCTTGAAAGTAACCTAAAGTGATCTGCCCTGAAAGTGAGAGGTACTATACTTACTGAAGGAAATAAAGAAGTCTGCTGGACCAGGAACAATTCTGAAACTCTCCTTCATGTGTTTGCTTGGACCTGACTTAATGCTACATCAACAAAGATGATCTTGACCCTGTCTTCATAGTATGATGTGTTTGAACAAAGAGCTACTTGTATCAGTGATAGGGAAAATTCAAGGCTGATTTTCTATATCACTGACCCTAAATGGAGGGTACTTCTCTTTAGAAGTCAGGGGTGACCCCAGCATGTGATACAGTGTAAAAAAAGTTTACATTATATTTTGGTTGGTATGCATCTGCCTAAGGACTAAGTTGTTTGAAAAATAAACGTCAAAGTTTCAATAGGATGACACAATGAGGTGTTGATCCTTGAAAATTCTGAAGTAGGCTGCATAATTGTCCTTTATGTTGGAGATGACGCTACTCCAAGGGTGCCCAGACAGGGGAAGAGAGGAAAGAGAATCACAGAGCCCTAAAAGACTCAGGCTAGAGGTGACTCAGTGCATCAGCCAGACTTTAAAAACATAGTTCTAGTCAAACAAGAGGAGAGGCTATGAAGGTGTGGGAAGAGAAGAAACATTGGGTGAACTCTCAAGGTCCCTTTCACAATATGATGTTTGATACTTTGGAATTATCTAGTTAAAAAAAATTTTGTAGATGATTTCACATTACTTCAGAATTTAAACATATTGATCAAACTTTTATATTAGCTTTGAATATGTTGAAGGTCAACAGTATGCTGCTATAAGGTACACACTGCCTTTTAAAGAAATCTTTTGAGCTCTGTGTTAAAAACACTGAAGTTTTGCCTAATCTGTGTGAGATCTGGGGAAGTCATAAAATTGCCCAAGGCAGTATCAATGGAAATTGGATTAATACTCCCTCATGCATGGATATGTTGTAAAAATAAGGTTATTGTAGATACCATGTAGAACACTTGCTGTCATGCTTGCTATGTGGAAAATGTTTAACAAATGTGAATTTTATTTTCGTTTCATTGATGTTGATATCGAGTGGGATCTACAATGTGCCCATAATTATCAAAAGGTGAGAAGAGATATTTTGGCCAATTCCAAAAGTGAAACATCTATGTATTCTTGTCCTTGTAGATCATGGGCAGTTTCAAAGGTCATGCCCTTCCTGGAAGCTTCTTTTTAATCTTGGGGTTTTGGTGGAGTGCAAAGTGTATTCTGAAGTATGTCTGCAAAAAGCAAAAGAGGACTTGCCATCTTGGTTCCAAAACGCTGTTTTATCGAATAGAAATTTTGGAGGGAATTGTAATAATCAGCATGGCCTTAACTGGTGAGTTTTTCTGTATTCTGTTTTCTTCTTTGAGGATATAACCATGTGTAAAAAGAAGACTAAATATACAAATTATGATATTTGATATAAAGAATTTTGTGGTTCATATATACTAATTGTAACTTTTGTCCGCTATAATTTGTTTGGAAAGTGATACCTTATGTTTACATAAAACCCTATTCCTTAATGGATTAGTTATAATAGTTAATCTGCCCACCAAGTCAAGGTGAATTTCCTATTATATGGAATTTGTTAGAACCTTTGAAATAATGTTATTATAGATTGTTTTATTACTTGGAGAAACAAAACTGTTAGAAACCATTTTTCAAATGACACCAAAATAATGGAGTGCATATGGGAAACCTTCAGTAATATGGATTCTATGAAATGTTTTATTTTTAGAGTTCCATTAAAATATTTCTTTTGTACAAGGTAAAGTTTCCCATTAATTTTTTTTTTCATGCTTTCTTCAATAGGACTTTTCTGTGTCCATAACATTACTAAGTAACCATTTCCAAGAAGAAATTTCCTTGCTAAATTCAATGGATTATAGATGCCAAGAAGAGCTTGCTCTCCTGGCTTTCTCATGATAACCCACCATGCTTCCTCCAGGATATGCTTTTATCTTGCTTTTCCCTGTAACTCAGCCTAAGCTCCCTCTGCAGAGCCAGTTCTTCCCTCACTCTTCACTTTTACTTTTTCACTGCCAAAATAAATATATAAATAAATTAATTAGTTCAATGGATTAACAAGGAAATATCTCACAGAAAATTAAATTGCGTAGTAATACTCCATTGTATAAAAATACCACATCTTTCTCATCTATTCCTCAGGTGACGGGCATCTTGGTTGTTTCCAAGATTTGGCTCTCACAAATTGTGCTGCTATAGACATAGGTGCATACATATCACTATGATATAATGCTTTCAGTTCTTTTGGGAAATTCCCAGTAATGTTTAACCCACTACTATTATGGACTACTGGACTATATTGGATTATTTTGCTGAATTCATGCACCTGCAATATTTAAATGACACTGGAATACCCATCTCTGACAAAATTAAAAAGGGGATACTAATGAAGGACCATTTTGTATCTGTATATACAAAATAGTTAGGATAGATATACAGCTACTTTCTCTAAATTCAATGAGAAGAAAGATTTGTACTAATAGTGTTTGGACAGGGTATCATGTCTGCATCTTGTACTATGAATAACCACTACGAAGACAACAATATGCAATGTATTAACTATTGAAACTGTCCTACTAATTGGTTGTGAAACTGCCTCATTGCTATTTGTTACTCAGTAAAATTAATAAAAAAAGAGTATTAAAAAAATTAAATTGCTTGTGTGAATGACTAGATCGTATTCTACAGCCGTTTGGGCCATCTTAGCTGTCTTCAAATAGGGAAAGCAGAACATTTTAGCCCTTTTGTTGACAAGCAAAGACAACTCCTTACTTTGTGGCAGCTACCCAAAGATGTAGTATCTGAGAAGAAGCAGTCTGCCTCTATAAGGCTGATCCCATAAATCCATAACCCCTAAGTAATTCCAGATTCACCTTAGTCATTAGAACAGGATAGACAATTGAAATAAAATCATTAGTACTGAAGATTTGTAATAGCTGTTTGAATAAATTGGTAATTTTTGACTAAAATTGGTTATCTGAACATTTAAAAAAATGAAAGCCTTAAGTATCATTGCCAGACTGTTAGGGAACAACTCAGAGAGAAGGAATCAGTGACACAAGGCAACAGCAGATTGCAACAGGCAACGGGCACACCTCTTCCTGTGTTATCGCACATGCCGGGGATACTTACGGAAAGTGTGGCTGAAATTGTGATGTGTTCTTTTTCAGGAATGTTGGGGGAACAATTCATTTCTGGAGGACCCTACTTGATTTTATATAAAGAAGGCCAGTGGAACCAGCTTCTGGGCTGGCATCATTGCACCATGTATTTCTTCTTTGGGCTCCTGGGTGTGGCTAATATCTTGTGTGTCACCATCAGTTCGCTTCCAGTCTCCTTGAGCAAGTTGATGTTGTCAAATGCATTATTTGTGGAGAGTAAGTATGAGTACTTTTCTGTACCTTTCTCCACAAGTAGGGGTTTGTGTAGCCCTTCATAATAATATATCTTTAGTGCAGCTTTGATTTATAGGGCTGTATACCTGGGTCATAACAAGACATTCTGGCAGAGTCTTAAGCACCAGAACAAAGATCTACCTTCCTCATTAATTCATTTAGTAGAACTGGGCAAGTATGATCATAGTATGTTTTATTCACATGTGGCACCTTTTTAAAGGAATTACCCATAGTAGTTCCTTACCTCTTGGCTATGTAGGAGATTATAATTTTTCCATTTTTAAGAATGAAAACTAAAAGCAGGGTGTGGTGGACATGGATGTCATCCCAGTGGTTGGGAGGCTGAGGCAGGAGGATCATTGTGAGTTGAAGACTATCCTGGGCTAAAAAGTGAGCTCAAGGCCAGCCTAATCTGCACAGTGAAACCCTGTCTCAAAAAATTGAAAGAAAGAAAGAAAGAAAGAAAGAAAGAAAGAAAGAAAGAAAGAAAGAAAGAAAGAGAGAGAGAAAGAAAGAAAGAAAGAAAAAAGGCAAGATGAAAAGAAAAAAGAATAAAAGCTGAATTTAGAGAAATGGACCAAAAATATCCAGAAATGGGGTAGTCACTCACAGTGGAACACTTTTCATTATCTACTATCCAGTTTCTAACATATCAGAAAAGTAAAACTGCCACTATATGTGAAGTAGAGTCCAAAACATTCAACTACAAAAATATAAGGTTTTAGTTTTGAGTGGTTGATAAAAATCAATGTTTTTGTTCAGAGGGTTTTCCTGTTTATTGTAAGGAGAGAGAGTAAATAACTATTTAATGATTTGCTTTTATTTACTTCATAAGTTTGTTGTGTAACAACAAAAGCCCCAGATGACTAGGAGGCTGTCACTGCTTACTTTTCTCCCTCCTCCCACATCTGAAGATGAGAACTTTTGCTTTTTCCTCTTTGAGAACAAAGGCTGGATCGAGGATAGGTGCCAAACACTAATAGCATGATTCTCCTCTCAGGATGTTGCTGTATTTTGAAGGAACATCCTTTGTTCTTTAAATGAAAAGGCTTAGAGGCAACTGGAAACTGTCCATGAAATGAAATAATACAGTTAATTACCTCTCCTTGGAAAGGCAGTTAATTCCCAGTTTGTTACTAAGAATTGGGATTCTAGAGGGCCACACCTATGTGTCCACCTTTACAATTATAGATGCATTTGCTTCCTCCAGAGTATTGCATTCTTTCAGTAAGTCTTTGGTTTCAGTTTGTTCATAAGCACATTAATTATAGCTGCCCACTCCTGTTGTGCTTATTGCTTATTCTTTTAAATAGGTGTTTCTTTGAAATTTAGTTAGTTGAAAAATGTCATGGTATGTTAGAGGCTGGACTAAAGATTGAAGAAGGGGAAAAGCAAGATGAGATTTTGAAAATTTCTTTCGGAAAAGACAGTGATGACTCCAAGAATGAAAAAAAAGCCACATTGTTGGTCCTTGGGAACCTGGACTTTGGAACAGTTGTGCATGTGTGTACAATTCTGTGAAAAAAAGAGGGAGAAAGAAAGGCAGAGGGTACTTGTGTTTCACTGAAAAAGAGAAACTGTTTTTTCTTCATTGATTAGCTTTTATCTTCCAAAATCATACCCATGGCCGGGAAATCCTCGACATCTTTGTGCACCAGATGCTGGCCTTGGTCTCCTTCTTGGCAGGCCTGCTTGCCTTCCTGGAGTTCCTCACGCGGAACAATGTGCTTCTGGAGCTGCTGCGGATAAGCTTCATCCTGCTGCAGGGGAGCTGGTTTTGGCAGGTGAGTTGGGGCCTGTATGGTGACGTGTCGCTTCTCCCCTTATCTGACGGGGCTCTTTGTTCTTAGACCTCAGTGATTTCACTCTGTCGTGCTGCGTGGAGTGAGAATGTGGGTGTCCTGGAAAGTGGTGTTTCCTCCAGGGTCGTAGCAGCCTCGGTGGGGTCGATGTCAGAGCAGCTGCCTAGGAAGTAGGGTGTGTTCCTCTTTATCACATCCCCGAGCACCCATTTGTGTAAGCTCTCTGAGCTGATGCTTTTAAGCAGAAGTAAGTCCTGATACTGAAGCAGCTTACAGCTAAAGAGTAGTAATAAACTTGTGAAATGCACGGAAGGCAGGAAGGGAGTAAAATACATTCTTTTTGAGAAGCAACTCTGTGTTAGCCTCTGTACTAGATTTTTGTGTATGCATTATTTCAGTCTGTCCTCACAACATTTTGGAAACTAGCTATTATTGTTTCCAATTTACAACTGGGAAGATTCAGAGAGCCCAAGGTAATCTCCCAGGCTCACACCTGGGTTTGTCTAACTCTGAAATCCCAGGTTTTTCTCATTTTATGACATCAACTCCTTCACTTTATTGTGTTGCTTCACACTTAAGTTCCAGTTAGTGAACATATATTTTATAAGTACTGACAGATGATGATCCAGCATGGCTGTAGAGGTGTGAAGGAAGTCTGGGTGGGAGCAAAATGTGGTTTACTAAGGAAAGACTATTCAGAAGAGATGTTTAGTCACTAGAAAGTGGGATTTGGGCTAATGATTGGTGGGTGAGGAATTAAGAATTATAAGGGTCAAAATGATATTGCAGCAAAGGCTTGGAAAGAGGGGCTAGATTAATAGATTAGTTTGAAAGAATATGTTTTCGAAAAAATTATAGGTGCCCAGTAATGAATGTGATAAAACTAATAATTGGTAACTTTATCCAGCTTATGTACAGAAGTTGTTTTGTTACATTAATTTTCATTTCCTAGGGACCTAAACATAGCAAATAGAATGGAATATAAAACATTATGATATGCTCTATGCCTCTTGATTGAAATCTTTTAGCATGTACATATACATAGTAAAGAATTTTTTAAAATTTAAAAGAGGTAATTTTTAATTAGCTAACAAGTGAGTTTATACTTCTGTGTATGTATTTTATCTCCTCCAAATACATAACAGTGAGCAATAAGATACTATATTGTAAAATACCAGGAAATAAAGGAAATTGAAAATAAATAAATACAGAATTCAAAAAACCACCTACTTGGGGCAGAGAACCCATGAGGTTGATGCAGGATAGACAGACCCAGTAGGAAGAGAAGAGGGCTATGGGTCCGGTCCACTGGTTCGAGAACCAGAGCAGAGACCGGGATGGGGGTTGTTGGAGAATGAAGTCAAGCATTTGGAACTCTTTAATTGTAATGATTCTATATTTGATACTGCCATTTTTTTCTGCTTGATCTCTTATTTTGTGATATTAGCCCCTCAAAAATTATTATTATACCTTGTTTTCAGTTTTTGTTTTGTTATAAGGTATCTTCGATTTTCTAGCCCTTTTTAAAGTAGATATATGATCTCATCTATTTTCAGTCTCTTTTTTTTTCTATACACTTATGGCTATAAAGTCTCTTTAGTTACTACTGTAGCTGTCTGGTAGAGCAGCTTTGAATGTTGATTTTCCATTAACTTTCTGACTTAATCTTTTGAGACTGGACATTTTTTGGTGCTGTGGTTGAGCCCAGTCCTTGGCATGTTTTTGACACTACCCCACCACTGAGCAACTCTGTGAGCCCTAACGGTGCATCATTAATTTTCTGAACATATTCTTTCTTTTATTTGAAAGAGAAAAAATTAAAAATAATAATAGAACAGAGTTTCAAAGCAGGTTGTAGGAGAGTGGCGATAATATGTTGTGTGTTGCTGTCTTCACAGTAGTTATCCAGAGTACAAGACATAGGCATGATATCTTATCCAAACAAGTCTTTCTTTTTAATGAAGAGAAACTAGATGTAAAACTGTCTTAACTGTCTTGTGTATAAATGTACTTTTTTCTTTTTCCATTTCTTCCTTTCCCCTGACCCCATCACTGTTTGTCTTTTCTTTTGGGCAGTTTCTTCCCAGATCACAATGTCTATTATACATTTGAATCTTATTTATTTGTTCAGTTTCTCACACTAGTGTGCCAATATGATATTTACACATATGAGTCTGATTTATTTCATTTATGACTATGATCTTGAATTGTATTCATTTACCAATAAATGTCTCCAGTTTATCCTTCTTCATGGTGGAGCAGTACTCCATAGTATTAAAAAAAACATTAAAAAAATATTTCTTGGTTGGTAGGCATTTGGGTTACCGCTATTATAAATTGTGCTGCTATAAATATGGGAGCACATACATCACTGTGGTATGATGTTTTTAATTTTTCTGGGAAAATACTCTGAAGGGGAAATCTGAGTCAAATGGGACTTGTAATCCTAGGTTTTGAGGAACGTCCACACTGACTTCCACAGTGGTTGTACCAGCCTGCACTCCCACAAACAGTGCAGAAGGATTCCTCTTTCCCCACAGTTGCTCCAGCATTTGTTATTGGTTGATTTCTTGATGACAGCCATTCTTTCTGGGGTGAGATGGAATTTCAGGGTGGCTTTAATTTGCATCTTCTGAAAGACCAGTGATGTCAAACATCTTCATATATATTTATTTGCTGTTTGTGTTTCTTCCTCTGAGCAGTGTGTATTCATCTCAGATGCCCATTTTGGGATTGGGTCTTTGAATTCAGAGGTTCTGATTTCTGTCAAATGTTTATATGTTCTAGATGGAAGTCCTTTATCTGAGGGACAACTGGCTATAATTTTTCCCACTCTGTGGGTTCTATTTTTTATTCTGTTGGTGATTTATTTTCTTATGCAAAAGCATTTTAATAAGGTGAGATCCCATTTGTTGATTTGTTGCAGTGTGGGTTTTGTTCATGAAGTCTCTGCCTACACATATGTCTTTAAGACGTCTACCTACTTTCTCTTTCAGTAAATTTAATGTCTATATTTTAATATATACATCACTGACCAATTTTGACTTTATTTTAGTGCATGGTGATAGACATGAGTCTAGTTTTAGTTTTGGCAAGTGGAAAGCCACTTTTCCTGCACCATTTATTAAAGAGACTACCATTCTTCTAGTGAACATGCTTGGCTCTTTTGTCAAAGATAAGGTGTCAGAGTGTATTTGGTGTTGTGTCTGCATCTTTTTTTTTTTTTCAGTTCTGCTGACACTCAGGCATGATTTTCTTGCTAATGGCATGCAAATTTTATCACAGTAACTTTGTAGTATAACTCAGGTTAGGGATGGTGATGTCTTCTACCTTGTCCTTGTATCCCAGAATTGCTTTTGCTATTGTAGGCCTTTTCTGGTTCCAAGTGTATTTTAAATGTGTTTTCTCTGGATCTGAAAGATGTGCTAATGATATTTTGATTGGGGTTGCATTGGCTATGAATAACAGTTTTGGGAATATGGACATTTTCACCATGTTGGTTCTTCCTGTCCAAGAACAAGAATGTCTTTCCATTTTCTTTTCTTTTCTTCTTTTAACTGTTTAAATTCATAAACATTTTTATTTCTAATGGTCTTTCATTTTACTTTATTTATTTTTATTTTTTTTCCAGAATTTTATTGAGAAAGAAATAGCAATGAGACAGTTTCAAATCAAATTGGTAGGACAGTTTCAATAATTAACACATTGCATACATTCTTCCTAGTGGTTAATTGCTGTACAAG